CATCTCAGGCCTTGCTGGTATCATTTTAAGCAGTTGTGGAACATTCTGACAGCTCGTTCTGGTGAGAGAGACCCTTTAATGCCTTTCTGGTGATCATACATCACCATAATATTGCTTTACACACACTACAGCTCATTTAGACACAATTTTAACTACTTCACAAACAGAACCAGTCCAAAAATTCTGCCTTTTTAAAGTTTCACTGATTTGAATAATCAAGAAGACCTTTGATACAAATCTATTTGTTATTCATTTGTGTGTTATGCATAATCTTCATCAGATATATCACAGATTATTATTTTTGTAATAAAATACATAAAATCAACTAAATTTGTGATTATTTTGACATATCTGTGTGTATTAACTGATTTGATGCCCTTTAAACACGAGAAAAGAATTCACGTTTCAGTTTACATTTAATTTGGGTTTAGAGACTGATTTTTCCTCTGAAAAAAGGTGGTGCCCATACACACAACAAGGCTATTTGCATAATAAATGCACATCTTAGGAGCTTAACTCATAACTGATAATTTACAATATATATCCAACCCCATATCACTCTACAACAACTAGTCTAGATGAGACTGAGACCAAAGTACATTGTTGTTGTTCTTAGAACAACTTCAGCCTCCAAATTTTTTACATGGTTCATGCAGACACTATTTTATGCCATCAACTTTACATAACAATTAACATGGAATTTTCTGGCTATTTTAAAAAGCGCCCGCAGCAGTCAGATGTTTGTTTCTGCACAGCTCTCCCCGCACAGTACTTCAGTCAGGCTGAGGTCTGGACTCAGCTCAGTAATGCAGGAGTCCCTGATGAGACAATAACAACTCCTTGATTCTTTCTGTTTGGAGATATCTTATTGATTTGCTGCTGTGTTTGGGTAATTATACCACGACCCACTTTAGTCCAAGCTTCAACTGTCAGACGTATGATACAAAGGTCCTGCGGCTCCATCCATCCATCCATCCATCAATTATCTTTACTTGCCTTTACCTTTTCGGGTCAGGGGGGTCACTGTTGCCCATGTCCAGCTATCACTGTGCAAGAGGCGGGGAACACCTTGGACAGGTCTCCAGTCCATCACAGGGACACATAGAGACAAACGAGCCAAACAATCATTCACACTCTCACTCACACCTAGAGAAAATTTAGAGTTGCCAATCAGTCTAACGTGTGTTTTTAGTTTGTGGGAGGAAACCGGAGTGCCCGAAGAAAACCCATGCATGCACTGAGAGAACATGCAAACTCCACCAAGGTCCCCAGACCAGGATTTGAACTGGGGGAACCTGCTCGCTGAGAGGCAGCAGCTCTACCAACTGCGCCACCGTGCTACCCTAAACAAGCCCCAAACAAGCCCTGTTTATCACTGACAGTGGGTATGATGTCGTGTGTGGTTTCCCATTAATAACAATCACAACCACGTTGATTTTACCAAACGCACCGGGATCAGCGTGAAGATTTTTTTTTTCTTTTGTAAAAATGGAGTCAGTGTGCTCTTTAAAAGATAGCTGGATGTCAGTTTCTGTCCCAAGATGACTCCAGCTGCTGACTCTGGATTCTGAGTGAGCCATGTTAGGAGTTGCTCTGACAGATTATCACCCCCGTTAACAAGACTTGCAGTGCTTTCAGATAAACCTCTGCAAACCTAAAATGTGCTGCTGCCAATTTCCTAATGGAGAGAACAGTCTTTCCCCTGCAGTCGTTCTGAACAAGTCAGTCCCTTTCCCCTAACCCTACTCTGATTGATGGGCAGCAACAGTAGCTGCTTTTACGTTATTGCTGCTTCTTTTCTTTCTTGGCATTGTGTCAACACACATCTGTATGCTCCAGAACAGCCAACTGTCAAAACTCCTGCCTTCACAGAGGTCTAGAGACTCCAGCGAAGATCAGATTTCAGTGTATTGGATCAACAGCACCTGACAACTACTTTGCTTCTTAAATCCTAGAAGAAGCGAGTGGACTTAAGTTACTTTACGTTTTTCTGTTTGACTGATTCATTTATTAAACAATGACATGGTGAAATCTGTTGTGTGTTTTTTTTTCACTTGAGGTTAGATTAGAATTGTTTTATAACCTGGTAAAGATCGGACCATTTTTATGTTTATTTATGTTATGCTTAAGATAAGATAGAACTTTATTGATCCAGCAGGAAATTGTGTTTCTTATTTTTGTTATTTAATGTACATACATAACACCCGAGAGTTAAAAGAGAGTGGTGACTGTAACTTTAGCTGTTTCAGTGCAGCCTGAGGCACTTGACAGAAAATAAATGTTTCTACTGTCTTACTGTATATATATTAGATTTCTGTTGAAAATGAAAAAAATTACAATTTACAGACACAGTAAGTTCACGTAAAGTGAATGTTGAATAACTGTAATACTTTTAGTACATTTATTTAGAAAATCAAAGATATCCTGATGCATGCTCAATAATCCAGGTAGAAAAATCCAAAAAAGTTCAATCTGGTCCTCTGGACATTCAAAAAAAAAAAAAAAAAAAAAAAAAGCAAAAAAATATAGAAACGTTTCGTCTCTCATCCAAGAGACTTCCTCAGTCGGAGGTGCTGTTTTCAGCTCAGTCTCTTAAATAGCACCTTCTCAGAGTGGATCAACCA